AGGTGGAGGAGGAGGAGGAGGAGGAGGCTTCTCGTCGCCCCGCAGAAAACGGGGCAGAGTGGGTCCCAGGAGAGGTCCGGGGACCGACTTTGAGCGGAGCTGGGCTTGGCGGGAGAGCCCTTTCTCCGGGAGGAGGAGCAAGAGCAGGAAAGTTCAAGGAAGACGAGGAAGAGGAGCAAGGGTTGGACGAGGCGCAGGAGGTGGAGGTCCTGAAGGAGGACAAGCAGGAGGAGGAGGAGGAGGAGGAGGAGGAGGAGGGAGGAGGAGGAGAGGAGGAGGAGGAGGAGCAGGAGGAGCAGGAGGAGAAGGAGGAGCAGGATGAGCAGAGGGAGGAGGAGGAGAGGAGGAGGAGGAGAAGGAGGAGGAGGAGGAGGAGGAGGAGGAGGAGGAGGAGGAGAGGAGGAGGAGGAGGAGGAGTGGGGGAGGGGGGGAGGAGAGGAGGAGGAGGAGAGGAAGGAGAGGAGGAGAAGGAGGAGGAGGAGGAGGAGGCGGAGGATGAGGAGGAGGAGGAGGAGGAGGAGGAGGAGGAGGAGGAGAAGCTGGAGGAAGAAGATCAGGAGAAGGCCCCCGATGGTGCGCACGCTGTGCCTGTTACTCAGGAGCCCTGTGCGTTACTGGCGACGGTCGACGAGCAGACGACCGGATGAGGGGGACTTGGACGAGGGATAGGAGGAAGCAGAGGGAACGAGGGAGAGATGGAGGAAGACAACGCCCTAGGAGGCCCGGAAGTAATTACGGTGCCACCCAAACTTCGGCTACGCTCTCACTCAAACTATCCCGTCTGCGACGGCTAGATACATTGAAAATCTACATGCGCGCCACATAAACTCATGATATCGTCATGCGCGTCGCCCGCAAACTAACGACTGCGTTGCATCACAATCCCTGGCAGTACTCTTCTGAAGATTTCGTCTTGCGCGACGGTCGTACTCTTAGAAAAAGCTCATGTGCGACGCCCTCGGAAAAAGTAGACACGGAACTGCAGACGAGCACATTTCGACACAATTAGTTAGCCCCATGGGTGGCCCTGGGCATCGTTCCTCATCAGGCCACCCTGGGCTTTTCTCTTTGCCGCGAGGGCCAGGTGGCTCCTATCCACCACGCCGACGGAGAATAACAGGAGGAGGAGGAGGAGGAGCAGGAGGAGGAGCAGGAGGAGGAGGAGGAGGAGGAGCAGGAGGAGCAGGAGGTCACGAGGCCATTCTCGACGTTGATGTGCCACGAGGGGCAGGCGTCTCGCATCCCCCTCGCGCGGCGGAGCACTCCGCCGCCCATATCGCCGACTCCGCGACATCGCCATGCGCACCGCGGGGCGACATTCCGTCGGCCGTGCTGGCGCCTTCCATACAGGTCTGGCGCACTAGACAATCCATATATATATATATGTATATATACACCATACACACATACCCATTGGTCGTTGACAGTAGGTATTTTCGGATTCCCATACTCCAATATACTTTAGGCGCCTTCCTACTTCAATGATCGAGTGGCTTCATCTTTTCCGTCCTCCTCAGGGGGCGGACGGAACCCAACATATGTTCAACGCCTTCCTAATTCATGCTTCTACCTATTTCTTCCGACCGATGGCCACACATACACGAATCGGCGGCAAGAGCAGTGCCGCCTGGTATTTCCACCGATCGATCGCTAGGTTGTTTCAAGGGCTGTGCGATCCTTGTTGGTACCGTCCTGTATGGCTCCTGCTTTTCCCTCCGCCAACCTCTCCTTCTCCTCCGCATTCCCTTCTTGTCCCCTCCTCCTCTTGTTGCTTATGTGTTCTGATTACTGTTGCTCTTCCTCCTCCTCTTCCTTCCCCACGTGGGATTATAATTGTGTGATGTTTGTATGGCGGCATCTTCGTCTCGACTGCTTCATCGGCGGCGCGGCTGGGACAAAGAGAGCAATCATTTGTTGTTGAGGCATGCGGGCGATCCTCCAATCAGGGATGGCGGCTCTCGCGTTCGTGGTGAGCCACGCTCGGGAGGAGTCTCTGCCCGAACGCCGGGGCGTTTGTAAACAGTCTGGTTGCGCCGCTGACACCGTGGATGGAAACCAACGCGAAATGTGTTCACAACGCTGGAGTCCCGCCGTTCAGAGGCTGCGAGTTCCCAACCGGGCACGGTCGGCGGCTGCCGCTGGAAATGTAACGAAGAAGCGCGACACGCGACTGCAGATGTTCCTACGGGCGGTCCTCCGTGCCTGGGCCGTGGCCCAGCTCATTGACTGGCGGAGCTCCAGCGTTACCAGATGGCTTCGCGCCAGCTGTTCTTCCATCCACCGTGAGTTTAAAGTCTTGTCCATCCACCTTTTTGTCTTTCTCTCCCTCACGTCCTATGTCCTCGGACGGGGTCCAATGCCAAGTCCTTCCCCACTGCTGCTCCTCCTTCCCCTCTTCCCCCCCTCCCCCTGTGTGTCAGGCTGTCTCGCTGCGTCACGGTGCCTGCAGGGATGGAGAGTCTGTCTAAATTTTGCTGCATGCTGATCGAGCGGAATCCGAGTACCCATGCCCTCGGCAGTTGGGTAACCCGCCTTCAGGACGGGGGAGGAGTGGAGGAGGGGATGTAAGCAGGATGGGGGAGGTGGTTTGGGAGGCGGAGGGAGAGGGAGGGAGGGAGGGTGATAGGGGGGCCTGGGCCGCGAGAGCCAGAGGAGTGATAGCGAGAGAGGGGGGGGGGCCGAGGCCGCGGAAGAGTGTGCAGCTCGTCGCGCCCACCCTCGCCCTCCTCCCCCCACGCTTCCATCCGCAAGGGGTTGCTGCCTGGCGACGGACAGCAATTGTGCTGCCTCGGTATTCGGAGAAGTCGACACGGCACATACACAACGCTCCGAGAAGGCCGCGACGCCCGAGACATTCTCCAGAGCCGCCAGGTCTCAGAGATTCTCGATTTATCCCCACCCGATTTTATGCTCGTCCTGGCTTCGTCCTAATTTGTTCAGAGGTCCGCGCGGATCTCTTGGGTCGGCGCTGGACTTCCTCTTTGGCGCGCGGAGCGCGACAGGGGCGGCCCTAGCGTCGATCCTAGGAATCCGCGCGGAGCTCCGAACGTTTCTGTTGATGCCGCTCGTTTTTCGTCTACTCCTCGAACCTCCTGGCACACGGGGCCCAAGAATAGAGACCACCACCTCCCTCGCCCCCGCCCCAGCCCAGGAGAGAGACGAGGAAGCGGAGGGAGGAGAAGGGAGGAGTGTAGACGAGGGTCGAGGAGGGAGGAGGAAGGGAGGGGGAGAGGAGGAGGAGGGTGCACTCCGCGCGCCGGGGAGCTGGGGCCTGGGCGCCGATCCCCGAAGTCCGCGCGGGCCTCCGAGGGTTGAGGTGTGTGTGTGTGTGTTTGTGTGTGTGTGTTTGTGTGTGTTTGTGTGTGTGTGTGTGTGTTTGTTTGTGTGTGTCGTGTTTCGTCCCGCTGCCAGGAAGCTGGATACGCATGATGTGGCCCTTCTCCTCCTCCTCCTCCTCCTCCTCCTCCTCCTCCTCCTCCTCCTGCTCCTCCCCCTCCTCCTCATCCTCCCCCTCCTCCTCCTCCTCCTCCTCCTCCTCCTCCTCCTCCACAACCTCCTCCTCCTCGTCCTCCCCTTCTCCTTCTCCTCTCCTCCTCCTCCTCTCCTCCTCCTCCTCCTCCTCCTCCTCCTCCTCCTCCTCCTCCTCCTCCTCCTCCCCCCCATGATGTGGCCCACTACATATGACCCAGTACATGTACATGGCGGCGTCACCCCAACACGATAATCTTGTGTGCGCGTCGCCCCCCCAGGGTCGACACCGAGAAATCTTATGGTATGTGCGTCGTGGGGGTTGCCTCCTGGGCACACCCCTCGGGGATCGATATACTAAAAGATGGGTGTACTGTATGTTCGGGTCGGACGCGCGCCTCCAAGGAGAACAGATGGTACTAGTATGTCTTTGCGCGTCCCAGTTCACACACTTGCGGGGGATGCTCACCCACCCCTGGCCCCCGGAATCAATGTTGACTTTAGCATGGGTGGTGGCTGGGGGGGTCGAACATTTCTGTCCACCCCATGCCCTCTCCATTGCCGCACCCTCCATACAAATTTCGGGGGTCCGGGGGGTACCTTGCGCCGCAGGGTTCCAACTTTTTGTCCCTCCACGGCCAGCCTGGGCGAGAGTTGGATACGCACGAGTTTAGATGTCTTTTTAATGCTCGGCCCTTCCATGGAGGTGTCCAGATGTCTTTCCAACGCTGGAGTCGCATGAGTCCAGACGTCTTTCCAGCGCTTGGCCCTTCTATGGAAGTGCAGGCTGGGCTTCCGCATGCGTAGCCAGCGCGTGGCCTCCACATGTTCCACACGTGAGCCCAGCCACGTGTGTTTCCAGCTTGAGGAGGAGGAGGAGGGGTATGCGGTTTTTGTTCCTCTACAGTCGAGCATCTGCTCAAGAAGCCTCCTCCCGAAAAGGCTGATCCAGCGTCGCGGAACCAGCTTGCCGGAAAAAATCTGGCCGAGTTTTTGTGGAGCACGTTCGCCCCCCAGCGCGAGGGCACAGAACAATTGGCGCAGGCTTGTCTCGAGCAACAATCCGGGAAGCTGGCGCCGATTCCTCGATGGAGGATTCCCCAAAGAGTGCTCGTCCGAGGAGCTGGGCCCGTCTGGCGGTCTGGCGGCTATGTTGTCGTCGTCGCCGCCCCGTCGCCGCCTCGTCGCCGCCCGTCGTCTGGGCCCGTCTGGCGGTCTGGCGGCCATGTCGCCGCCCCGTCGCCGCATCGCATAGATTGCACCGCATGGATTGCACAACATAGCTTGCACCACATACTGTAGATGCAGCCACATCTATTGCACAACATGGGCCGCACCGCATACGTTGCACCAAACAGACTGCACCGCCTTGATTGCACCACATACACTGCACCATAGATCTTGCTCCACATAACTCGCACATCATAGATTGCCAGACACACGCTCTTTGGGGCCCACGCTGGATAACAGTTTCTTGATCATATTTTCAGCTGTGTACTTTGCTGTGGCCTCGTCTCCCTCGCGACCCGAAGGCGGGGGTCCCTTCGGCACGCGCCCCGGCAGCATCATGCTGCCCTTTGCCACCGAGATGTCGAGCGCGAGAGCGCAGTCTTCTGGGAGGGGAGGGGGCGCTGCGCGTCCCGATTCCGTGCGTGTGTGTGTGTGTGTTTGTGTGTGTGTGTGATCCGCATGGGGGTCCGAGGTGGCCCAGCGTGGGTTCCCGCCAGCAGGGACGGCGGGCAAGTTCGTGGTTTTGGGCTCGGAAAAGATTACTCGTGCTGCTTCGGCCTCCGGGGGCGCTTTCGGGCCCGAGGACCTTCAAGAATGGATATCTGGGGTGGAAAATTGCACCAGACGGACCCGAGGAGGGGTCTGGGGACCGACTCTCTAGGGCCCCAGCCAGTTCAGACCCCCTGGCCGCCTCCAACGGAGGGTATGGACGTCTGCATTGGAGAAGCAGCAGGATCAGTTGCAGGGAGAAAGGGGGGCGGAGTGATGTTTGGGTTTGAGTTCTGGCATGTCCATAGTGATTGCAGGAGGAGCGCCCACTGAACGGTCCCCCTTGCGCCACACGCATTAAAGGACTTGAGCCGATGTTACGCGCAGCACCGTGCAAATTGAAAAGAGACTATTAGCTCAAATCTGTTGTTCCCCTGGTAGAGATTGGAGTAGTTGTGGTTAGAGCTGCAGCAACATTGACAGCGACCTCGCCTGCTACCAAGCAGGGAGTGGCGAGCGCTTCGCTGGAGACGGGCCAAGTCTGCCCACGCGGAGTGACGGAGACCGTGCTGGTCGTCCCACGCAATGCGTTGTTGTTTTGCTGGTTCTTGCCAGTCAAGCGCCAGCCTCCTTGGAACACTTACTGCCAATAAGACCTCACTTCGGGTGATAATGAGGTGACGGAAGGGGGATCGCAGCTTTGGATTTGCGAGTAGCCTCGGGTCGATTTCGCGATCTATACATGTAGCTATCTCAGTATGTATCTATCGATATTCCTGACGATCGGTCCAACTATCTATCTGTCGATCCCACAATCAAGTATCATTCGGTCTCACGATCTACCTGTCTCAAGACTCAAGATCTATCCACCGACCGATTGTTCTCAACATCGATATAATTATATATAATTACTATATTTCGGAGGTTGGGGGGTGAGATCGAAGTGGAACGGAGAGCCCCCCACCGGGAAATCGGTTTCGGTTTCGTGTTCGTGCGTGCAGCGCGTGCGGGCGAGGCGAAGCTGCGTGGGCGGGCGAGAGGAAAGTCTCCTGTGGCTGAGGCGCGGCCGGACCAAATGATTCCCCCCCCCGCAAACGGGGCCGCGCGGTGTCCCGCCGGTGTCCCGCCGGTGTCCCGCTGGTGTCTGGGTAGGTCTCCTGTGGCTGAGGCGCGGCCGGACCAAATGTTTCCCGACCGGCAAACGGGGCCGCGCGGTGTCCCGCTGGTGTCCCGCCGGTGTCCCGCTGGTGTCCCGGTGTCCCGCTGGTGCGAAAACGATAGTGAGACCGATAGTGAGATCGATTGCGAGATCGATTGTGAAATCGATTGTGAGATCGATTGTGAGATCGATCGATGGTGAGATCGATTGTGGGATCGATAGTGGGAGCGGTAGTGGAATCTATGATGAGATCGATTGAGTAAGATCGATGGTGAGATCGATAGAGAGATCGATAGAGAGATCGATAGTGAGATCGATAGTGAGATCGATGGAGTGATATCGATAGTGAGATCGATAGTGAGATCGATGGAGTGATATCGATAGTGAGATCGATAGTGGGATCGAAAACGAGATCGAGAGTGAGATCGCCAGTGAAATCGATCGAGTGAGACCGATAGTGAGATCGATCGAGTGAGATCGATAGTAAGGTCGACAGTGAGATCGATCGTGGGATTGATAGTGAGACCGATAGTAAGATGCACATCGAAATATGCAGATCGAAAAGCAAATCGACATGCACATCGATAAGCACATGCAAATGCAAATCGTCAGGCACATCGACATCCCGTGCTGTATGCTGTGCCAAGAGCGAGCGGCAACGCAACAATCTCTGAACACCAAGGCTCCCAGAACGAACGTTGGCAGAGCAGGCTCTTAAGGGTCGCTCCAAGAAGCTCCCGGGAGGCCCCAAGAGGCCCCCAAGAAGCCCAAAAAGGCTCCTAAGAGGTTTTAAGAGGCCCTTTAAGAGGCTCTTAAGAGCCCCCAAGGGGTCCAAAAGACGAGCTTAAACGGCCCCCCAAGCCCTTGCAAAATGAACGACATAATTCATTATTTTTCATTAGTTCCCGGGGGGGGGACTGGTACCAAGGCGCCCAATAGCGAAGGGTAACGTAAGCAACCCGACACCAAGGCTCACATGAGCGAGCGAGCGGCAACGCAACAATCTCCACTAGCATCGTCAGAACAACAATCACCACTGTTGCCCATTGCTGGCCCCCCTACCCCCCAAACCTCCTTATCACCCGTAGGGTGGTCGTATAGGTATATATATATATGAAAAGATGCATATACATATCGCCATATGTGTGTCGGTCTCTCTCTCTCTCTCTCTCTCTCTCTCTCTATATATATATATATAAGTATAATGATATTGTCTATCCGTAGACGGGACAACCGCGGGACGACATCGTAACAACCGTGGTCAACCGCGGGACAACCGCGGGACAACCACGGGACAACCTGGGGACCACCACAGGAAAGCCACGGCACAACCACGGATGACCACGGGACAGACACGCGACAACCACGGGACAACGATGGGACAACACCACGGGACAATCGCGGGATTGCCACGGGTCAACCACGGGACATTCGCAGGACAACCATGGGACAATCACCACGGAGCAATTACGGGACAGCCACGAGACACCGATCTGTCTGTCGGTTTCATGGTCAATATCCCGATCTCGCTGTCAATATGCCAGCCGATCTCACGATCCATCGGTCTCGCATGTTCTCGATCGATTGCGTTATCAACACATCGACTAGTCACACCACATCTTGGTTCCACGATGGTTCGATCCATCTCGCTCCCAATCTATGTATGTATGCATGTATGTATGTATGTATGTATGTATGCATGTATGTATGTATGTAGGTAGGTAGGTAGGTATGTATGTATTTATGTATGTATGTATGTATGTATGTATATATATATATATTGTAATGGCCTCTGGCCAGTGCCGCCGATCCGGGGGGCTGCGGATTAAGTGATCTTCTCGTCTCTGTGGCCTCTTCCCTCCCCTCTTCCCCGGCAGAGCCACCCGGGCGACCCGGGGACCTCCCGAATCATCTGGGGGGTGTGCGAATCATGCAGAAAACGCCAGATGGAGGACCCCCCCCCCCCTTCCCAGCTTCCCTGGCAGAGCCACCCCGGCGACCGCGGGACACCCCGAAACATCTGGGGGATGCGCAAATCATACAAACGCCAGATGGAGGATCCCCCCTTTCCCCCCTTCCCCCCTTCCCCGGCAGGTGGGACCCCCCGAAACATCCGGGGGATGCGCAAATCATGCAGAAAACGCTGGATGGAGCCCCCCCCCCTTCCCCCCTTCCCCGGCAGAGCCACCCCGGCGACCCCCCCAAGCAGAGCTGAAGCTCTTGTAGGCTCAGAGCTGAAGCTGTCGCCGAGGCTCCTTGTAGCTCACACGCCGGATCGGCGGATATGTATGTATGCATGCATATATTTACATACATATATATACACATATACACATATATACACATATGTATATATATATATATATATACATATATATATATATATATATATATATATATATACATGCACGTAGGTATACACAAGACTGAAGTGGCGCTTTGCGCCATGCACACTTGGTCCTTGAAGTTTGGTGTGCAGGCGGAATGGCAGGAAGGTCAAGCCGACAATTTAGCGAGAACTCTTTGTTGCCTTTTCCAGCATCGCCGCTATAATAATGCGTTTCGTTTTCCTTCCTCCATGCTTCAGGCTTTCTTAAGGCCTTCTGGAGGCCTCCCGGGCGTGTTCTGGGGGTTTCCTCGGGCCACCCTGCCTCCAACCGCGGTGAGGCCGTCTTGGGCCGCCATGGGGCTCTCTTAGGGCCCCCTGTTGTGCTGGTGTGGGGCTCCTCTTGGACTGCCTGGAAGCCCTTTCGGATGGTTGTGGGGCGATTTTGGAGCCTCCCAGGCGGCTTCGGACACCCAGAAGACTGCCGTATTGGAGCGTCGGGAAGCCGAAAAGAGGAAAGCCCCAAAATTCGCCAAAAACCAACAGAAAGTCAATGAGTTTTGCCTCCTGGGGCCTTCTCGGGAGTGCTCTTGTGGGCTTTTCGAGACGTTTCGGAGCGAACTTTGGGGATATGATGGCTTCTTGGAGGTCGTCGTGGACCGTATTGGGGCTTTCTGGGGTCGTTTCGGGAGCGCGCCGGAACGCCTGGAACCCGTCTGGGGGAGGGCCACATTCGTTTGGGGCGGGGCGCTTTTTCCGGCGTCCCCGTCCTTATACAAATATATGAATGAATGAATATATATATATATATATATATATATATATATATATATATAGACCTTGCGACCCGACGTTGCAAAAAAAACCACATCACAAAGAATCACGCCAGGACCCCTGGACCCTATGTTTCTGCGTCATTTTTCGAGCTGGATTGATCTGTGAGGGTTCCAGGGCCCGAAACCGAGAGAAGCCCGCTATGGAAAAAATTGCAGCGCCGGGATCTCAGGGTATGTCGGTTTCACGGTCTGTCTACCTGTCTACGGACGGGTCAACCGCAAGGCAGCCGCGGAACAAACCCATGGGAAAACAACGGGACAGCCCTCGGGACAGCCACAAGACCCCCCCCTGGGCACGCCCTGGCCGCCCACGGGTGCAAACAGCATGTCTTCACTTGGGCGTACCCTGGGGGTCCATGGGAGCGCCCCCCCCCAAGGGGGGGAGGAAGGGAGGGGATCGCTCGCGGGGATCGGAGAGGAGGAGGAGGAGGAGGAGGAGGAGGAGGAGGAAGAGGAGGAGCAGGGAGGCACCGCCCCATTTAGGGGCCGACCCTCCCTCCACTCCAGCCGCTCCGCCCTCGCGGAACGCCAGTGACAAGGGGGGTGAGGGAGAGGGGGCGCTTGCACGGCGCCGCCGCCGCCGCGAGCGCGTACGCGCGCGCGCAAGCACACACACAGACACACACACACACAGACATACACACACAACACACCCAGACAGACAGACAGACACCCAGACAGACAGACAGAGAGAAAACAGACAGACAGACAGACAGACAGACAGACAGACAGACAGACAGACAGACAGACAGACAGACAGACAGACAGACAGGCAGGCAGGCAGGCAGGCAGGCAGACAGACAGGCAGACAGACAGACAGACATACAGACATGCATGCATACACACACGCACAGACGCACACACACAACACACATACACACAACACACACACAACACACAACACACACAACACACAACACACACAACACAACACACACAACACACAAACACACAAACCCCCAAACACACAAACACACGCTCGCGCAAACGCGCAAACACACACGCACACGCGCGCACATGCGCGCTGTTTCGCCTCGCCTCGCCCAAGCGTCAGAAGAGGAAAAGGTACCCATACCGCTGCCCGCGGGTCATTGAGAGTTGGTGTTTTGGGATGCCAGATCCCAGTATGCCCGCTTCAATAATCGATATACGTTTGCTGAGTTTTGTATTATTCTCTTGGAGGGTCTGGACCCAGTCTACTTGATCCGCCTTCCTACTTCATGTTTTAACCTACTTCTTCCGACCGACGGGTACCCCTCGTCTCGTTTTCAACTTTTTGGGCCTCCTGAGAGGCCCTTGTCGCCACCGCTGGATTCGCCTCGAAATTCTAGTCAGAGCGCACCCCGGGGCAGGTCCGTAGAGTAGCAGCGGTATTGGTACTTTTTTGGTCTCCCCAGCACGCACGTCGCGCACGACACGAGCTGACAGAAACCGAATTCACGTTTGGGGCACTCCGTTTCACTTCGGTCTCACCCCCGCCAAGCTCTGATACACAATCATTGTCGCCATTTTCTTATCCACTGTTTCGCCGATCGGCGCGGGTCCCCGGGTCCCCCCCGCCCCTCCCCCCCATAGACCAGATTTTGTCTGCTTTTGGCGACTGCCTTTTGGCGACTTGTCAGGATCCTTCTCCCCAGTCTGCTGGCGCGACTGGTACAAGCAGATCGACTGAGCACTGGCCCAGACCTGGACCCCTCCCCTCCCCCACCCTTTGGCCAAACGTCGAAACCCAGAATAATAAAAAACGCCTGCAATGATGTGTGTCTTCCGCCCAGTCTTGAGGCCAGTTGCCTGTAAGTGTATCACTGTCATGGGTCAGGGACGCTGCAAAAACTCTCTTCACACAGAGTCGCTGCGGGGACAATTGTCAAACATCTTCTTGCTGTTCTCTCTGCCCGCCCCTCCCCTCTATCTCGCTCGCCTCTCACGCCTGGATCAAGGGGGCGTGGATGAGCGACAGGTCCCGCTTCCATGGGGAATCGCGGATGTCCGCCGCCGAGCGGGGCGGCACCGGCCGCATTTTGGGGAGGGCACCTCCCCCGATCCATGGATTTGGCGACCGCGCGTCAGATCCATGGATCGCTAATGCATGTTTGCGCGCCCCCGACAGGGCCCGACAGGAGAGGGTCAAGGGGGGGGTGGCAGCTAAGGGGGGGGGACCCTCCCACCTCTGGCGCTGTCTTCCTTTGGGGCCGCCCGCTCCCATTCGACGACAGTGACCGTCCGTGCTGGGTCGGCCTCCTGCCGTTTCGCGTGGCCGCCGCCGCTCGAGCTCGCCTCTGACCTCTCCGCGGGTGCAAGTCCAGACGCGGTAAGCAAGGAGCAGCTTGGGCACGAGAGGGGCTCGATGTGCCTCAGGGGTCCTCCCGTGGTGGTTCCTCGAGCCCTCCTCGTGCACGCTGGCGCTCTTGGTGCCCACGGGGGGCTCCGTGCCTCATCTGCCGTTCCCCGTTTCGGCGCCCCGACTGTGCGGCCGCGCGTCGCTGAAGGCTGGCCTTTCGCCCGCCGTGCCGGTTCCGTCTGGAGGCTCCGGGGGGCAAGCTTGTCTCGGGTGGTGTTGGCATAGCACTGCACGGACAAGAAAAAATACCCTACCGCCAAGCCGTCGCAGAGGCGGAAGGAGGTGAAGAAAGGGGGGAGGCGAGGGAGGAGGCACGACGCCCGATTGGCATACCGCCGCGAATATGGGCGACGCAGAGACGTGACTTCGGAGAGGGAGCTCTCGGGAGTCGTGTTGCCCACTGCTGCCTACGTGCAAGTTTCGCCGGCCTGTAGCTGGCTAGAGCAGCGTCGATGGCGCGAAGATAGGAGTGATGCATGTCTTGATTGTTCTTTCTTCTCCTCCCTCTTCCTCCTCCTCCTCCTACTCCTCCTCCCCTCCTCCTCCTCCTCCTCCTCCTTCTCCTCCTCCTCCTTTGGTAGCAAATCATGGGAGCCTAGAATACCTTCTTACTTCTATGTTTAGCGTCGATTAGCCTCAGGGAGTCGATGATAGCGCCGATTTAGCGTCGCTGAGCGTCGATTTCGCGTCGACTAGCGTCGACTTGGGTAGGGTCGATTAGCGTCGATTCGCAAGAGCCTCAGGCGCGCGACGGTATTCGCGCATCAGTCTTGAAGGTAGGTGACCGAGCCATGTCATGCGCCATCGAAGTAGGACTGCCATGTCGCGAGTCATTGACGTCCGTTGCAAAAGTGGGTGAGAATAGCAGGGTGGTCGAGTGTGCTTATCTGCTCTCTCGCGAGCTCTGCTCGCACGACTGTGCGCGTGCTGTTGGCATGGGTGGGTGGAAGGATGCCGCACTTCGTGGTCATCTCGGTGCCTGGAGTGCCACCACTTCGGCACTCCACCGGCGATGGAAGAGTTTTCGTCTGCCACAGTCAGTCACAGTCAGTGCTACGTTCAGATAAAAGGCTAGCCTCCCAGCAGGTTCGCCATCATGTGGTCTCTGAGGAGCGCCTCCGGACATCTAGATCGGCTCGGATATGCGCCCTCAACTTTCATGTCCAAGATAAGTTCTTGCCTGCGTGTGCTTCGCGAGCCCTACTCGCTGTGCAACTCGCGTCAGGGTCTGCCTGCGGGTTTTCCAGAGGGGCTCCGCTGAGCTGTGGTCACTAACATGGGTCTCTTCCTAGTCTCGGCCCCCCTTCTCGCCCCTTGCCCCCGTCTACTCCACGTCAATGGCCCCAGCGCGACATTGGCCCCTCCTCTTCCGTACTTTGCCCTTTAAGCTTCAAGCGTGGTTTCAGCTCATGGCTTCCCTGCGCCAGACTGCTGTGATTGATTGCCTCCTTCCTCCCATAATCATGCGCGGTCCTTGTATGTGAAGTGCTAAATGGTTAAGTGAATGTAGATTGTCGACGCCTCGCGTATCCCCACCAGCCAAGTCAGAAATGGCACCCAGGCAGAAAGTAGCCGTTAAACGAAGGCTCGCGCGCAGACCGAGCAGGCCTTCTTTTGGGGCCCTCTTCGGGTTCTATTCGGGCTGTTTGGGGGAGTCTTGGAATCCTCTTGGGGCTTTTGGGGGGAAGGTCCCTGGAGGCCTCTCGGGGCCATCTTGGCGGACGTCAATCAAACGAAGCGGGTTTCCTAAGTCAGGTCCCCCTCAAAAGACTTTGAAATCGCGCCTTGGGGCCCTCGAATCCAGGTCACCCTCAAGAGCCCTTACATACCATGAGGGAGTTCAAGAACGTGAGCCGCAAGCTAAAGAAGGGCAAGACAGCTAGACCTGACGGCGTACCACCAGAATTTCGGAAGATGGCGGTGGGCATTTTCCAGCGCGTATCAGAGGCCGCGCTGGCGCGTGGGCGCTTCAGCGCGGGTCGGTGACACGTGTGGGCGCGATGTCATCATGACGTCGACAACGGCTCGCGTGCGTCGACAATGGCCCATGTAACAATGGCGGCAACGATGATGATACTAGCGATGCTGGAAGAGGTGATGGCGGTGACGACGGAAAGGCCAATGACGGCGCCGATGTTGGTGCCGACGATGACGATGATGATGTTCATGCGTCGGTCATGGAGGGTATTGTGATGATGGTGGTGGCAATGGCGGCGATGGACGATGACGGTAATTGTGGTGATGCCATGGCGTTGACGAGGGTGATGAGGAAGCACGCGCGCGCGCGTAGATTCAAGTCGTCTGCATTCTTCTGTTGTTAAGGCATTCGGTGCTGCGTCTGCCCGTGAAGAGCTATGTCCCTGACTCGCGTCGAGGGCCAGAGGTGTTGGAAGGCTCGGGGCCCGCGCGCGTGGCGGCGCGCGCGTGGCCCGCGTGGCAGCACTTGGTGTGGAGTCGTGCACAGGGAGCGTGCCAGGTCAGCGCGGGTGCGCCTCGTGGTGGGGTGCGGATGCGATGTTCGGGGCGAGACTGCCGACACCACGGCGTCGAGAGCGGTTTCGGCGAGTGCGTGCGGGTAGGCCTTTTGCGATATCTGCAACTGAGAAAGCAGTCTTGCTTTTTCAGTGCTTCCCCGACCCCTCCTGCGTTTGGTTCTCGTTTGGAATAGAGCACTCTTGTCTCCGTCCTTATTCCCTCCTGTTTCTTCCTCCTCGTCGCCTTTGCCTCCAACGTATAGTTTCAATCCCCACCCTCCCTCTTGTTGGGTTCCCGTTGAAAAGAAAGCAATGTGGTCTCCGTCCTCCTCCCATTCCTCCTCCTCCTCCTCCTCCTCCTCCTCCTCCTCGTCCTCCTCCTCCTCTTCCTCCTCCTCCTCCTCCTCCTCCTCCTCTTGCCTCCTGCCTCCTTGTTTCGTTGTCTCGTACCTTTCCTACGCGCTCTGTTCCTCCTCCTCCTCCTCCTCCTCCTCCTCTTCCTTCTCCTCCCTTCTCTTGCCTCCTGCCTCCTCCTCCCCTCCTCCTCCTCATCTCCTCCTCCTCCTCCGCCTCTTTCTCCTCTTCCTCCTCCTCCTCCTCCTCCTCCGCCTCTTTCTCCTCCTCATTCTCCTCCTCCTCCTCCTCTTCCTTCTCCTCCTTCTCTTGCCTCCTGCCTCCTTCTCTCGCTTCCTTGAACATTTTCCCGCGCGCTATCCTCCTCCTCCTCCTCCTCCTCTCCTCCTGCTCCTTCCCATCCTCCTCCTCCTCTTCCTCCTCCTCCTCCTCCCAGTCCTCCTCCTCATGCTCCTCCTCCGCCTCCTCCTCCCTCCTCCTCAGGACTCCTGCCTCCTTGTCTCGCTTCCTTGAACATTTCCCCGCGCGCTTTCCTCCTCCTCCTCCTCCTCCTCCTCCTCCTCCTCCCAGTCCTCCTCCTCCTCCTCCTCCTCCTCGTTCTCCTCCTCCTCCTCTTCCTATCTCTTCCTCCTTCTCCTGCTCCTTCCCATCGTCCTCCTCCTCCGCCTCCTCCTCCCTCCTCCTCAGGACTCCTGCCTCCTTGTCTCGCTTCCTTGAACATTTCCCCGCGCGCTTTCCTCCTTCTTCTCCTCCTCCAAAACCTGGGGACGTCACCCGTTGATTTGGAGACACCAGGAAGAACATCACTACGGTTTCTTCGGTGCTCACTGCAGTACTGACTGGGGGGCGCCCCCCCCCGCCGCCGCCATTTTGAACTGATTTTGGCCGGCGAGCCCGCCGCCATTTTGTTGTTGCCTAGTTGCGATTACGATTGCGCCCGCGGGCGGGTTGAAATGTTTCGTCTGGTTGGGAGTTGAAAACATCGCACTTCCGCGTCACGCGGTGCGCTTTTTTAATAGAATTGCAAATATTTCTCGGGAGAGTCCCACGCCCGCCTAAGATATAATGTGTTGTTATGTTCGATGTAGTTTTTTCAACGGATTGCAAAACGCAGCCCGCCGGAATAACTCCGCACTGGTCACAAGACGATTCGCCGCCAAATTTTTACGGGGAGTTCCAACTGATTTGAATTCGTTGGTTCGCCTTGCCGCCGTTTCTTTCGATACGTCAGTTGCTGTTTCAGGTTTTTTTCTCCGCCGCTCGCTTTTTTTCTGAAATGGAGTATGTTGTATTGCTTCCAGTGTGATGGAAGAACCCCTGAGTAAGAGCACGGCTCGCGAATAAAGCATGCTTTGCCAGTGCAGTGGGAAACCATGAGGAGTCGCGTGTGACGAACGTGTGATGTCCTTTCCCCTTTCTATTATCGGCGTCTGCCTCTGGTGTCTCCGTCTCCGCCCCGCCTCCTCTCTTTCCTCATGCATTTTCTTCCTCCCTTCGCCTCGTGCACCCGGGCGGCCGACCTCCTGGCCTCCCGCACGCTTTGCCGCCCCCCACCGACCATTGCCCCACCCCGCCCCCGTTAGTTGCCGGGCATGGAGTCCGTTGGCGCGCTGGCCATGCCAGCTATTGCTGGGCGCGACGAGGAGCCAGTCCTTCTCGTCCTCCTCCTCCTCCTCCTCCTCCTCCTCCTCCCTCCTCCTCTTCCTCCTCTTTCTCCTCCTCCTCCTCCTCCTCCTCCTCCTCCTCCTCCTCTTCCTCCTCCTCCTGCTCCTCCTCTCTTCTTCCTCCTCCTCCCGGCCCTCATCCTCCAGCTCCTCCTCCTCCAGGGCCTCGTCCTCCAGGTCCTCCTACTCCTCTCCTCCTCCCTCCTCCTCCTCCTCCTCCTCCTCCTCCTCCTGCTCCTCCTGCTTCTCCTCCTCGTCCTCCTGCTCCTCCTCCTCCTCTTATTCCTCCTTATTGTCCCTTCCTTTCCTCCTCCTCCTTCTCTCAGACTCCTATCTCTTTTTGTCTGACTTGCAAGTTGATGTGCACGGGTGTCGGCGCACTTTCTCGGCCCCTGTCCGACGTCGCCTCAAGCATAGTTCACCAAGGCCTGCGTGATTTATCCAGCCCATGGGAGCTTGCCATCTTCGCGCAGCCAAGAATCGAGCTCTGGATTGGCCTCCCTGGTGCCAGTGGTCGAGATTGTGCCCCACGATAACGTGCTTCCCATGTTGATTCTCTATCTGGCATGTGGCGAGGGGCTCCTGTCTGCAGCCGCCATAAAGAGCTCAGGAACAGCATTTGAGTTCTGGATCGTTGACATTGTGTTTGGCACACGTACAAGATGGTAAGCAACCATATTCACTCCAGCAGCTGGTTGAGGCGCAAAACGTGTTCACTGCTAAGTTGCAGGGTACCCTGGAGAGATTAGCAGAGGATGCCCATTCGTCGTACTCGTCTTCTTGTTCTTCGATGGCCTCGTCTTCTTTTCAGCCAGATAAGGATGCCGTGAAGAGCGACGTCTCGTTAGTAGAAGTGGGCGTTAGGCAATCCTCGGCGGACATTGGAGGCGAGTCAGGCGATGCTGCGGAAGATGCTCTTGGCGTCCCACGGCTTCGCGTTCTTGAACAGCGCATCAAGTAGATCAGAATTCGAATAGTTGTTCCCGAGAAGGTTGTGCGTTTGATTCAGAATATCGTGAAGAGGCCCCTTGGATTACTACTTTGGATTATTGACGTCTGTAATGCTGCGAGTCTGGAGACGCTGTTTCGCAGGCTTTTTGACCAGTTTGCCGCCGCTTTGGTTGATGGGCTCAGTCAGCGCATTTCCCTGCAAACGTTTATGCATGCTTTAGGCACCGTTCCGAAGATGGCGGGCAAAATGTTTGGGAAGCGTGGAAGCCCAGCTGGCTGCATCTCCGCCGATGGCCGGCGGCGGATCCAGGGCGAGCCTCCGCTTTGTCACCGCATCGCCGTGACGAAAACTTCCATCACTCCTGATGCGCAATGACTGCGATCCGACGGAGTGGGCGGAGCAGAACCTCAGGGGAACGAAGAATGGCATGAGCATAAAAGCTCGGAGGTCCGCGCAGATTTCTCGGATCCGCGCTGGAGCCCACTTTTTGGCGCGCTCCGGGAGGGGGGGTCCAGCGCCGATCCGAGGAATCCGCGCGGACCTCCGAGTTTTTATGTGTATGCCATTCTTCGTTCTCCTATATCTACTCTTCGTGAGAGCGCATCCCGTACGATGGGGTATACGATTCTGTGCGGCATAGTTCCTGGCCCCTTCTTCGAATTACCCCAGTGCGATCCTACCTAGAAGTTGGAGCCCCTAGGAAAGCACCATGAACGTCTGAGTCTGACAACTACCCTTGGCCGAGAAGTGGAAGGCGACCGGAGCGGTCAGTGCATCACTCGCCATATCTACCAAGGTTCTCTCGGTGATCCTGCCATCGAAGAGATCTGCCACTAAGGCGATATCGATGCGAGGCTCAGTCAGGGTGTCCACTATCATGGTTTTGCCGGAGTGAAAGACGTCCTCAAGATCTTCCAATGTCATGTCTTCTAAAGATGACCTGGATGACGCAGAGCGTAGAACTTCGCCTCGGTAGACAGCTAGGACACGCTTCATACCCTGTTCACGCGAACGCCGCTTCCGCACCACCGAGACATCCCCGCTAGCGCTGCATTGCCCTGCTCGGAGTGTGGGCTGTGTAGCACCACCGCTCCTGCGGCGCCTGGCCTCAACTCGGCGAGGCTCATCAGCATGATCGTCGTCGTCGTCGCCGCGACGATGGCGCAGACGGCCGCGACTGCGGCTAGGCTCGCGGCGACCAACTCATCCCAGATGTCCGATGGCTCCAGCTGGAAGTATTCGGCAACCTGGAACCACGAGTCGCACCTCTCCAGCCAGTCGTCGTCTTCATCAAGCCACCGCCTGCTGTCCACAGGGCGGATGCGCGTGTACTGGATGACGCGGCCCTTGCTCCGCCTGATCGACAGGCCCGAGTTGTTAACTCCGTCGTTCAAGACATTCCACGAGCACTCGAGATCGTTGTCGATCATGCGGGTCAGCTGCAAGTGCCGAGAAGCAACACCCTTACCATCCTCCCCGCTCCTCTGAGACGTCAAATGGATGTTCGCGTCAGGCATCCCCATCTCGAGCAAGCCTGTGCTCCGGATCAGCCTGACGACCCACGCCTCTACCCTGCCCAGGCGGGCATGGTGCGAGTACCACGTGCAGCGCGTCTTGCGACTGATGAAGTGCATGTCTTGCAGGCCGCACTCAGCCGCAAAGAGCACAACGAACGCCCAGAAGCCATCCTCGACAGCCGTGTACATTTTGCTGCCTTCGACCCGCTGATCGTCGTTCCGCTTGGACGCGACGTCGCCCACATCGATGGCCACAACAGGCCGGGTGGGCTGTGCAGCACCACCTGGTGCCGAGGCGGGCTGTGCAGCACCGCTGAACGCCTCACTCCGCCAACCTCGGGAAATGAGCGTGGGCGGCTGTGTGGCAGGGCCTCCGGACTTGAGCCGAAATGGTTACGGAATGCATTGCTTGCGGGGGCTCCGGTCCGGCCATCGAGGCTAGCTCGGCATTTGTCGCACATTGCTTTTGCTTTGCCTTTCCTTTGCTTTGCTTTTGCTTTTGCTTTGCTTTGCTTTGCGTTGCTTGTGCTTTGCTTTGCTGTCGCTGCTGTTGTTTTGCCTTTGCTTTGCTGCTATGCTATGCTACGCTATGCTGCGCTGTGCTATGCTGTGCTGCGCTGCGCTGCGCTATGCTATGCTATGCTATGCTATGCTATGCTATGTTGCGCTATGCTATGCTGGGCTATGCTATGCTATGGTATGCGATGCTGCGCTATGCTATGCTACGCTATGCTATGCTGTGCTCTGCTATGCTAAAGGCTCAGCGCAACTAAGATGAAGGTAAGCTAAGCTAAGATAAACCTGAGCTACGAGGAAGTTAAGCTAATCTAATATGAAATAAGTTACGCTAAGATGAGATAAGCAACGCTAAGCTAAGGGGACGTAGCTGGGGGAACCGCGGGGCGGATACTGGGGGAACCGCCCGGGCCGGTTCCCACTGCCCGGCCCTTTAAGCCAAGAGAGTAATAATCTTTCTAGGCAGAGTCTAGGTAGGGAATTAATTTTTGCTCGCAGTGAGTTGTCCACTCCACTGCTCGCACAAACATCCCACCCACCCACCCGCAACTTGGTTTGCAAAATCTCTTAAGACCGTGACGGTGGGTACCAAATGGCACTTGGCAACGACAGCGACGACGACGACAGCGACAACGACGACGACGACGCCGACAACGAGTACGACGACACCGACGACCTCCAACGACTTCGACGACGCCGACAACGACGACGACGACGACGACGACGACGACGACGACGACGACACCGACGACGACGACGACGACGACGACGCCGACGACGACGACGACGACGACGACGATGACAACGACGACGACGATGACGACGCCGACGACGACAACGACGACACCGACGACCACGACGACGACGTCAGTGACGCCGACGACGACGCCGACGACGACGACGGCGGCGACGACGACGACGCCGACGTCGACGACGAGGACGACGACGACGCCGACGCCGACGCCGACGACGGCGACGAAGACGACGTCGCCAACGAAAACGACGACGAGGGAGGAGGGAGGACGACGACGGCGACAACGACGACAACGACGAGGGAGGAGGGAGGACGGCGACGACGCGAACGACGAAGAAGGAGGAAGGACGGCGACGCCGACGACGACAACGACGAGGGAGGAGAGAAAACGACGACGACGACAACGACGACGACGACGACGACGGCGACGAAATAGAAGCGACGACGACGAGACGCCGACGACGGACGACGACGACGACGACGAGGGATGAGGAGGAAGGACGACCACGACGACAACGACGACCGAAACGACCACGACGCCAAAGAGGACGTCGACGACGAACACAAGGAAAGACAGAGGACGACGTAGGCGACGACGACGACGACGACGCGGGAGGAAGGAGGACTGCGACGACGACGACGACGACGACGCCGCAAGAGCGCGCGCGCACGCATTTGTTGAAAATCCGTGTTGCGAAACCTTGTGTTTTTGTATGGTTTTTGGACGCACGATTTTGAAATGCTTCCGAAACCGATGGGTTTTGAAGGATTTCGGCATACGCGCGCGACGACGCGCGCGTCTGCACTTCGTCCCAGCTGTTGCAGAGGATTCTCGCGACGGCACACGCGCAAAGGCATTCGACAGATTTCGACATGCGCGCGCGCGACTCCCGTTTGGTAGCATGTTGTGAAAATCTCGAAAAACTCATTGTTTTCCTAAGATTTCGCAAGAGCTCGCGCGTAAGCTTTTTTAGTAAATCAGTGTTGCGAAGCCCTGTGTTTTTGCATGTTTTTTTGGGAACTCGATTGCGAAATCCTTCCGGCACCGAAGGTTTTTGAAGGATTTCGGCATGCTCGCGCGACGACGCGCGCGTGCGCACTTCGTCCCATTTTTTTGCAAGGGATTCGCGAAAAAGTGCGATGTTAGAACAAAACATGTCACCGCATAGTGTTCTTTACAAGGGGACCGCGGGGGGGGGAACCCGGTTTGGCTGGGATGGTATGATTTCATATTTAGGATGGACGAGTGTGCAGAATATATATATATATATATATATATATATATATAGGTATGTATATATATGTATATATACATATATGTGTGAACATATTATCCCAGGGGGAACCGATAAGCCCGGGGGGGGGAGGGGGGGGGAGAATCTATTAATTTTTTGGAAAGGAGAATTAACAAGATCAAAACCCTGAGGGGGCGGAAACGACTACGCAGAATTCGACCAGTAGAGACGGACATTTCAACGATGATCGAAATGTGCTGCAATTTTTGTCACGGTGGTGTATATTGACATGGCCGCGAGTGTCGTCGACGCGCGTTTGTTCTTCGTCATTTTTACGGGCGCTCGATGGATGTCGTGCTTTCGGAGTCTGCGGCCATAGTTGCTTCTTCTGCTTGTGGTGTATGGCCCTCGTCGGATCGATCCAACTGCGCGGTTTTCGATTGTGGCAATATCGATCCGCTTGCATATTTTATGAGGCCCATAATGACTCTCAGCCGTGGGGGCGCGGGAGGGGCATCCCGCCAGAACCAGCGCTCGCTTAGTTTCGCGGCGTCTGCGCCATGTTGCGCGCTGTCACGTGTTACGCTGCCAGAGCTGCTCCTGGTACTTCGAGCTCACGTCCTTCCCTGTCCCCGTCCTGCTCTGCGAGTCTATTTGGATGCATGGAAGCAGGCACCAGCACCTATCCAGAGGATTGCCTCCACCGGGGGAAGATGATCCTAGATTCTGGCGCTGGTGGTAATATTTCGGCCACAAAAAGCCTGAGTATTACCAACATTAATTACCGAGATCGGGCTCATCTTCCCTCGGTGGAAACACGCCGCCGCTGTTGGTGTTGGTGTCAACCTCTAGGCCTCCGATATATTGCCTTGTCCTCCTCTTCCCCACGGTTCCTCTACTCAGCGTCCAGGTATGGGCCTGACCCCCAGACCCCCACCAGAGGGTGCTCGCGGCCATTGCGCTCACCTTCTAGCCACGCTCCACCTCGCGGAAAGATCGAAACGGGTGCGGAAACAATGGGTACAAAATCCAACAGCAGTTCGTGTTCATTCTGAACAGGGTTCGTTGTCGGCGTCGCCGCGGCCGCTGTTCATTTGATACGATACAGAAGGCCGCCTACCTAACAGCGGCCAATCTCAGTTTTGAACAACATTAGTTACTAATTTGTTGTTGGGCATCGTGACACTTTTCTTCGTAGCCATGTCGGGCGTCCAAAACGTCTCGCCTTCTCCTCCAACACCTCTTGCTGTTACTCTTGCTATTATTCGTAATGCGATGTTGTTCCCTCCACCCCTCCCGATCCTCCTCTTTCCCCTCCAGCGGCGGGCCCCCTGGACACACGCGGCACCCGCGCGCCCGGCGCCAGTAGGCCACCAGGGGGCCCGTCACGCTCGCGTGGCAGGGTCGGCTCGCTCGATAAGTAAGACGGGCTCGCACAGACACACACACACACAGACACACACACACACGCACGCACGCACGCACGCACCACACACACACACACACACACACACACACACACACACACACACACACACACACACACACACACACACACACACACACACACACACACACACACACACACACACACACGCACACGCACACGCACACGCACTCGCACGCGCACGCGCACACGCACAAACACCCGCACACGCACACGCACACCCACACCCACACCCACACACACACACGCACGCACACACACACACACCCACACACACACACGCGCACACGCACACGCACACGCACACGCGCGCGCACGCGCACACGCACAAACACCCGCACCCGCACCCGCACACGCACACCCACACCCACACCCACACCCACACACACACACACACATACGCACGCACGCACGCACGCACGCGCGCGCGCACGCACCCACCCACACACACACACACATGCACGCACGCACGCACACACATTCATACACACACACACACGCACGCACGCACACAGACATACACACAAACACACAAGCACACACGCACGCACGCACGCACACAGACATACACCAGCACACACACACAACACACGCATGTACGCACGCACGCACGCACGCACACACATTCATTCAATCCAGCGGTGCTATAGTTTTGACCGTCACATGTCAGGCTTCTGATCACATCCCAGTATAGTCTAAGCGTGCACCCAGGAATCAAGTGTCTGTGGTTGCGCGGGAAGGTCGAGACTGTTTCTCGACGTGTCGTTACAGTGCCGCTCTGCCGGCAGCCCTCTGCTTGTTCAGGAGATGCACGCGCGTAAGAGCGGGTCGAACCGCTGCCTGTCTCTCGGCTCGGAGAGAGCCCACATCCCAGGTCGACCTCTGGCCGAGCTATCGACCGAAATCGCCATCCAGGCGCAGCCAGCTGGCCGCCGATGCGGAGGACATGATGCGGCTACAGTGGAGGTCCATGCCAAGAAATATGATGCTTGCCTCCAGGGTGTTTTTGTTTTTTGGGGGTTTCGATGGTTTTAATCAATGGACGTCCTGGGGCCTCAGGGTTAGGTCTCTTGTGGCAGGTTTCTTGTGGACGGGCCCCCTACTGTAGGGTCACTCTTGCGTGTACGGTAGGCTCGTGCCGTGTCGACGCGGCGGCGACCTTGCCGCGAGCGGGCAACGAGGTCGAACGCCGCCCGTGGCCCAGGCTCGGCCGAGGTGGAACAGAGATCTGGCCATCCGGGAAGCCGCCGATCGTCCGGGGGTTGGAAAGGCAGGATCCGCGCGGCGCGCTTGGCTCGGGCTCCAGCCTGAGGCTGCACGGGCCGACGGCGTGTGCATTCATGCAGGCACCCTGGGCACCCTTCTCGGAGGTGGGCCGCGCGCTCCGCGCGCGGGCAGCTCGTGTGCTCTGTGGCGGGCAAGGATCTCCCGGATGGGCACCTCGGAGACCTGCGAGGAGGGTGGACTGCACGTGACGGTGGCCTTTCGCCGGAGTGGCCCACGGTGCGGGCACACACAGGGGGCCCCCAAAGTGATGGATGCGCGAGGCGAAGGCAGCGGCCTCCGCGCTCGGGTTTGGCCCCCCCCGCGCCCCCCCGAAAGTCGCGCACCAGGGGTCACTGCTGCCCACTGCCCAGGTCTCCCTGCTCCTCGGCCCAGGGCGCCCGCCCGGAATATTTCTACGTAGTGTTGCGCAGGGGCGCCCGCGAGGTCCTCGACGCCGATGGATCGACACCCCCTCGCGTACCCCGGGCTTGCGCAGCGCGCTGCTGCCACGCCTGCGCGTTCGCGCAGTTCGCGGCCCCTCTGGGGCCTGCGCCCGCTCGCCCCCTGTCAGTGGGAGCAGTTCTCGACCTCTTGCGTGGCTGCGGTGCCCTGGTGAGGTGGAGCCTCCTCCGCCTCCGCCTCCTCCTCCTCCTCCTGCCCCACCGCCGTCCTACGCAGCAGGCGCTCCCCGCATGCGCGTGCAGCGCTGTTGGCGCCCGTCCCGTCCCGACCCCAGACATCCAGCCGCTCCAATTTTTTCGATGCGTGGGCCCCGGAGGTGTGGGCCACTTCCCCAAGGCCAGCGCTTCGTCCTGAGTCGTTTTCTGACGGTCCCGAAGCCCTGCGAAGGCCCCCAGAGGCCGACAACGGCCAAAAATCCGCCGCTCCAAAATTTATTGGAGCGTCGGATCTCTGGGATATTTTCCCGCCCAGGACGTCTTCAGATTCGGGCCGCTCTCCATGCTCGGCGCAGGCGCGGGCGCCTCTCAGCTCGACGCGGTGATGGCCCAGGCCATGCACGTGATGCTGGAAGGGGATGGGGGGTCGCCTGAGCGGTCCTCGGCCCGCCAGGAGGAGGAGGAGGAGGAGGAGGAGGAGGAGGAGGAGGAGGAGGAGGAGGAACCAGGAGAAGGAGGAGGAGGAGGAGGAGGAGGAGGAGGAGGAGGACCTGGGGGACAAGGAGGACCTGGAGGACCTGGCGGAGGGAGAGGCCTGGGGGCGCCAGGGGGGGAGCACAGGGCCGAGGGGGCTGATGTGGGGGCAAAGGGGAACCAGCGAGGGGGGGCACCTGGAGGAGGAGGAGGACGGGCACACGTGAGGAGGGCGGAGGAGGAGGAGGAGGAAGGAGGAGGAGGAGGAGAGGAGGAGGAGGAGAGAGGAGGAGGAGGGGGAGGGGGAGGAGGAGAGGAGGGAGGAGGAGGAGAGGAGGAGGAGGAGGAGGAGGAGGAGTGAGGCGGAGGAGGAGGAGGAGGGAGGAGGAGGAGGAGGAGGAGGAGGAGGAGGAGGAGAGGAGGAGGCAAAAACGGACGGACGGTGTTTGGCCAGTTACGGCGTGAGATCCAGACGTTGCCTTTTTTCGCGCTGGGCGTGTTCGTGTCTGGTTTTTGGAGCCCCCGGGGCCACAGCAGATCGGTCCTGCTCGAAAAAAACGCCGCGGAGAGATGGGGCCCAGTGCTCCGGTCATGATTGCTCGCGATGTTGCAAGTCGTCTTCGCAGCGTCGGATCTCAGGATTCATCATGGGGGCTGGGATGGGACTGGCGGGGTTGGGAGAATCGGGGGGGGAGGGGTGCTCCGGGTGAAGAGGGGGGGGGAATGGGCGAGGCGCAGCCCCGGCTGCTCCTGAGCGCCCTCAGGCGCCGAAGAGACTCTGCGACGCTTCTGCGAACAGGACGTCGCGTCTGAAACCGCGAGTGCGCAAGGCCTACTCCATCCTTTTCCCAGACGTAGTTTCTTTCACGTGTCGCTTCTGCTGGATGTCCCTGGGTGAGAGAGCGGGGAGAGGGGAAGGGAGCGGAGCCGACCCCCAGCAGAGAAGAAATGGACCCTGGGCCACTGCTGGCTCCAAGAGGGGCCGACAGGTGCCCTTCAGGGCCGGTTCTTCGCCCCTCATTGAGGTCCCCCCCCAAATACCCCCCCCCGATGTGCGGGCCCCCCGGAGCTCTGGACCACCTCCCGGGAACCGGCTCGTCGTTCCGGATCCTCTTTTGACGGCACCAGGGCCCGGCAAGGGCCCCTTCAGACGCCGAAGCACTTCTCCGTCGAATTTGTTTGTGTTGTCCATACGTTGGACTTTTTGTCGATGAGTTGGAGGTCTGGGAATGCAGTCGACCCGCAGAATAAGGATGGGCAACCTTCCCAAGGGGACCCTTGCATCCTTGCCCCTTCGGCCCATCCTTGGCCGCTTTCGCTGGCCGCGCCCCGCTCGCAAAGCTTCGAAGTAGCTTTCCGAGGCCCTTGCATCGTTATCGCGCGTCCGTCTTGCACGGGTTGACTGTAATTGCAATTGCGCTCTGGCGTCTTCCGCTCGCCTGCGGCGAGTGCCCCCGCGGGCAAGCGGCGAGGGCGGGGCGGGGGGGGGGCGGGGGGGGGAGCCGGCCCGAGACGGCCCAGATGGCCCTGCCACGATTTCGAGACTTTGGGTCAGGGGCAGCGTTGAGTGGATAGGCTCGAGGTCGAAGGTTCTACCCCCTCGTGCAAAAAGCAACTGGTGTTTTTCTATCCCCCCCACCCCCCCAATTTCAATGTTCAATGCGGTGCCGAATTTTTTTGCGAACTTCGCCGGTCACGCGATCAACATTGAAATGGGGGGCCAGGGGGCTCACCAAACACCAGTTGCTTTTCGCACGGGGTTGTAGGCCTCCTAGATGTGGTCGGAGTAGACGGGGTCGGAGGATCGCGCCGCATCGCCGATGCATCGGCGATGCGGCTCGATGCGGAGCCCGATTTGCTTCACGCCGACGTCGCCGATGCATCGCCAGCGTCGATGGTGCATCGTCGATGCATCGGCAATGAGGCGCGATCCTCCGACCCCATCTACTCGGACCCCATCTAGGAGGCCTCTAGTTGGGTGGATAGGCTCGAGGTCCAAGGTGTTCGGGCGTTTCCGTCGGTTCTTCGCGGTTTTCCAGCCTCAGGGTGCGCTTCAGCAGCTGCGCCTCGCCGAGAGGCGTCTGGTGGTGCCCGGATCGTCCCGAACGGCCGCTGGAGAGCCGAGTTGTGGCCCGAAAGCCAGGGGCTACGTTAGGGGGTGATGGGCTCAGGGGTAATGCATTGACTCCTAGTCGCCGATCGATCGCCGACAGGACCATAAGGACAAGTAACAGTGAGGATCATAAGGACACGTGACTGTCCAAGGGTGCCCTTGAGTCCTTGACTCTTCGGCCCGTCTCAGGCGTAACGTCTAGAGGGACAGATTTTTGGGGAAACCTTGCGTTATTGCGTTGTTCTGGCGTTTAGTCCCGACGGGCAAGGACGAGAGTCGTTTAGGGTACGATTGCGTCCTTGGAACAGTTGCCGTTCGCCGCTCAAACATGTAACTTGGGCGTCACAGGGAGTTACGTCCTTATCGCGCGTCCTCATGGTCAGCTTCGACTGCAGACTCAAAGGGTGGGGTGGGGCGCATCGACCCCCACTTGCACCTTGATCGCCGACAGGGGCCTGATGGCCCACCCCCGCCCAGGAACGTTCGGTTTCGCAACCGAGTGCCTGTCGCCGATCAGTCGGCGACTTGTCTCCGATTCCAGCTCGATGCTCCCCCCCTGAGCCATGCCAGCCCCCCCCCTACGGTCAGAAACTTCGGCTTAGCGTGTCGCTCCGCGGGTTCTGGCCCACCACGCTTTTGGCGCGACTCGCTATCTGCGTCCCCATGCCCACGCGTCAACGCCCCGAGCTGTTCCCAGCCTCCCGGCCCGCGGTGCGGAGCGACGCGCTATCCACTTGGAACGCACGGCGTGTCGCCGAGGCCGCCGCCGCGACACGCGTTAAGCAAGAGTTCCCGACCCCAATGCTCCCCCTAGTTTGGGGGAGGCCGCAAGGGTCAGTCAGGGCCCTGCGCACGGCCCCGCCGCAGCAGATGGCTCTGGGAGGATTCTGGCCCTCTGGGTGAGCTCTGAAAATGATGCCTGGCGTGGTCTTACAAGCCCGGCTGTTCGATGTTCTCCTGATTTGTTGTTCCTCCTCTCCTCCTCGTCCGCCTCGCCTCCGCCTCCGCCCCCCTCCGTTCCCGCCTCCGCCTCCGCCTCTGGATGCGTGGGGGTGAGCAGTTGCTTGCTTTTGGATTCCCATCGCGATGCGATTGATGTTTCTCGGGCATACTGTGAAGACGTGTGGTCGGGTCTTGATCGCGCGAGCGGGATCTCCCCCTCCTGAGGCGCGGCGGCTGATTTCGGGCTGTGACACTGACGGTGTTCTGGCCTTTTTCTTTTTTTTTTGTTCTGTTTTCATATATTCTTTTCTTTCGTTTTTTTTTTTCTATGATCTTTTTTACATTTTTTCTTCGTCTTAGTGTTTTTTATTTTTTTATCTTTTGTGTCATCCTCTTTTATGTGGTTTTTGTTGTTATTTTGTGTTTTTGTGTTTCTGTTTTATTTGTCTCCATATCTTTCTCTTTTTTTTTTTATTTTATTTGTTGTTTTTATGTTTTCCTGTTTTCTTTTATCTTTTTTTTTTTATATTTTGTTCTACTTTGTAGGTTTTTTTTTTTCTTTCTTTTTCTACGTTTCGTTTTTTTTGTATTCTATATCTGTCTTCCGCGCGCGAGTTTTGCGAGCGCCCAGGCCGCGCTGTGGCATCGACCGGCATTCCGTCCCTCTTCCCTCCCTGCTGCCCTCTCCTCCCTCCCTCCCTTCCCCCTTCCCACTCCCGCCCTCCCTCCTCCTCCACCCTCGTTCTACAAGCCTCGCCAAGAAGAACCTGACACGCCGTTCCAAATCGTGGCGCTCGATAGTCCGGACACTTGTCAGAAAACTCTTTCTTCAATGTTGTGAGAGTATTGCTGGAGTTCGGATACCCCTGCGTCTGGGCCAAGTACTTCATGCCAGCGTTGAAGTAGCGCCGACCACGCGAGCACCGAAAACAAGAACCGTCAGTTTGGTTTTGACGAGTCTTGCAGAAGTTGTCGAGCCTCTTGAGTCGGCCCAGTCGGTCCTCCTCTCGAGCTACCTTGAGTCCCGAAGTGCTGTTGCTTTTCAGTCTGGCTTATCGAAATTTTACGGTGGAGGCGTTTTGTTAAGGAATAGTCCCAGGAGGCGCCAGACCCTGGAGGATTCCTTACCTAATGAGGGCGGCGGTGGTATCCATGGCCGATCCACGATTGGAGTTCCACTGGCTTCCAGACCCTGGATTCCTGATCTAAGGGTTCCTTATCCAATGCCCACACCGTAGTGCCGTGGACCCCCCCTCGGGCATTCCGCTCCGTTCCTTTCCCTCCTCCCTCCTCGGACCGAGGAGGGGCCGCGTGTGGGCCACGAGGGACCCACGACGGCGTAGCAGCTGCGCCTCAGTCAGGCAAGGGGCGTGCGGGGCGTGCCGCTGAGGATGGCGTGTGTTGGGGCGTGGGACTGGGGGGGCTGTGGGCCGCCTGGCTTGGGGCCCTCGTCCTCCAGCTGCAGCCTTCCGTCCTCAGCTGCCCCGATGCGCCCGTGCTGAAGCGCAAACACGCGCCGTGTTCGAAACGTCCCGTTTGAACACGCTGCGTGCTGGTTCAGCACGTGCTGACTATAGGTCTTCGCGAGTGCATCGTGCCAGACCCACGTGTGCAATCCACGTGTCGAGCTCCGTGCCAGCACGCTGTGGGATGCGTGCCGCCTATCAGGGCCACCAGGCTGCCATCCTCCTCCATCCTCGCCGAGGGCCCCGCGCGGGAGGAGGGGAGGAGCGAAGCATGAACGAGGAGCAGCCACCTCAAGTGCATCCAGCACAGGAGGTGCTGCGCGATGCTCTGCCTCGGGTCGTCGTCACGAAGGAGGACCTTGGCGGGAGGGGCAGGGACACGCCCGGGCCGCTGCCGTGTCGGGCGTCAGTGCCTCTTCGTCCGTCGGTGTATCATGGTCCGCGACTCCACGGTTCAAGGTTCGACATGCCATGGGGCCGTTCGTTGTGCTCTTGTTCAAGTCAGCTCATCTTGAAAAACAGTCAACCCGCATAGTGAGGGTGAGGGGCTTTACCCTTGCATCCTTCCCCTTCGGCCCATCCTTGGCCGTTTTCGCTGGCCGCGCCCCGCTCGCACAGTGTTGGCATGGCCTTCCAATGCCCTTGCATCCTTATCGCGCGTCCGTTGACTGTGCTTTGAGAGCAGCAAGCGTTGTATGATGGTGCGTGCATGCTGGTATGCACACAGGTCCAGGTCATGCGCATGGATCAGCAGTCTGTCCAATGACATGCGCACAGTTCAAATTTACAGCAGTCCGTCGGTGTGTCCTTTCACGGCATTCGCATGACGTGGTGTAAGCTGTGAAACATATTTCGTCCAGAGCCGATTGCCAAGATTGCCTCGATGGTGTCCTCCAGGATTGTGTACACAGCGCCCTGCTAGTATAGAGTCGGGATTTGGGGAGGATCAGCTCGATGCCACGAACTCCAAGTGCGCAGTCTGTCTCGAGGACGCGCCTTCAGACGGAAGGGCAAGTTGAACATCCCGTTGTGCTTCCCAGCGGTTTTCCCTGGTCTTATTTTTCCTCGCAGGCATGGGCTGCTGCCAACTTCGAATTCACACTTGCTCTTTCCCCCTTCGTTCCACCAGTGCTGCCCTGTGCCAGCCTGAGCGCCTGAGCCCTGTTCCGACTCGTGTCGTCCGTCAGGGTCCGTCCCGTCAGGATGTCCGGCGTTTTTGCACGCGAGCTGGGCCCGGGCACTCGGCCTCGGGATGCAGGAGGAGTAGACTGAGGACGGGGTGAGATCGGCTATGTCTTCGGTCGATCGCGCTCTCTGGCAGACGGGCAACTGGCGGAGCCGTGCTTTTCGGGCCGTTTCTTTGGGGGTGGCGCTGCCGCTGGGCGCTCGTGGCCCTCCGCCTGCGCTCGGGACCGCGCAGGGCGCACCTCCTCCGCTCCTCCCTCCTCCGCTCCTCCCTCCTCGGCCTGCCGAAGGGTGGCACGGGCAGGAGGGCGTGTGAGATCCTCTTGTTGCTTCCTGGCGTTGCTTGCCGTCACAGCAGCGACCTGTCTGCCACTTCGGCCCCAGGGCCCGGTCCTTGAGGCCGTCGGTTCGTGGTGGGCTCTTACAAGAGGTCGAGGATGTGTTCCCTCAGAATCGTTCCGTGTGGCGGGGACCTCATTTCAGCGCTGGCGCGTTTTCAATCAAACGTTGTTTCAGCGATGTTGGCCCTCCAAATAGCCATTTGCTTGTCGATGGTACCGGCCTTTCGAGTCTAGAACACGTTAGAACACTCAAACAACGATGTGTGTTCAATGACTTCGGCTCTTAAACGACTTCGCCTGTCCGATCCTACCATCTGCATGCGCGTTTGATGAGGTATTGGCTCTCGAATTCCAGCGCTTCTTGCATGACCAGTGTTGTGTTCGATGAGCTTGCCTCTCCAAGTATAGAAGCTGTATACACAGCATGTCTTTGACAGTCATTTGTTTATCCCAGAACAGTTGTGTGATTCTGTCAGTCTGGCCCTGCAGGTCGAGGACGTGTGGCACAGGGTGGCAGCGGCACCCGGTCGGGGATCTTTTGGTTCGCGTGTCCCTTCGCTGGTGCAGGCCCACCACGCCTCGGCGTGGCACGCTATCCATGTCCCAGTCCCCAAGCGTCGACGTCTCGACTTTTTCCCAGCCTCCCGCCCCGCGGACCAGAGCGGCACGCCATCCGCTCGCAAGGCACAACCATCCCAAGCCTCCCAGCACTGGACAATTCTGGCACGGGCTAAGGGGTTCTCACCCTCGCACGCCTCCCCAGTGCGGATCGTGTGGTGTTCGCATCGTGCCCTCGCTTTTTCTTCAGACCTTTCATGTCCAGAGAGCGTGGCACGGGCACAGGGCAGAGGGTTCTTGTCAAGAGAGCTTGCCAGGGACATGCAATTAAAATTCCGTGATAAGGACGCGCGCCTCTCTCTAGGGTGCCTTTGGGTCCCTGCCTGCCTCTGCCTCTTCGTCCGTGGGGTTGCGGCCGCCTGCCGCCCAAGATACTCCAATTTCGGCCTCCATCTGGACTTCGACTGCAGGGTTCTTGCGTCTTCCATCTGGACTTCGATTGCACGGTTCTTGCTGGGTCTTGCGTCTTTACCACGCGCCCTCCATCTGGACTTCGACTGCAGGGTTCTTGCGCCTTCCAGAAGAAAAACTCGACGGACCGATTCGGAGCAGCTCCCCCCCGCCCCCACCCAACGTTGACTCTTGACGGGGCCGCTGCCGCACCGGGGGGGGGTCGAGATGCAGCAATTGGATGGGGGAAGGGGGGGGCGGGGGCGGGGGCGGCCGCCGACGGCGACGAGACGAGGACCCCCAGAGAGGAGGAGGAGGAGGAGGCGGAGGAGGAGGAGGAGGAGGAGGAGGGCGGAGGAGGAGGAGGAGGAGGAGGACGGAGGAGAAGGAGAGGAGGAGGAGGAGGAGGAGGAGGAGGAGGAGGAGGAGGAGGAGGAGGAGGGAGGAGGAGGAGGAGTAGGAGGAGGAGCGAGGAGGAGGAGGAGGAGGAGGAGGAGGAGGAGGAGGATGGGGAGGAGGAGGAGGAGGAGGAGGAGGCAGGAGGAGGAGGAGGAGGAGGGAGGAGGAGGAGGAGGAGGAGGAGGAGGAGGATGGAGGAGGATGAGGAGGAGCAGGAGGAGGAGGGGAGGAGGAGGAGGAGGAGGAGGAGGAGGAGGAGGAGGAGAGGAGGGGAGGAGGAGGGAGGAGGCGGGAGGAGGAGTGAGGAGGAGGAGGAGGAGGAGGAGGAGGAGGCGGAGGAGGAGGAGGAGGGAGGAGGAGGAGGAGGGGAAGGAGGGGGAGGAGGGAGGAGGAGGAGGAGGGGAGGAGGAGGAGGAGGGGGGAGGAGGGGGAGGAGGAGGAGGAGCAGGAGGAGGAGGGGGAGGAGGAGGAGGAGGAGGGGGAGGAGGAGGAGGAGGGCCCCATGTGACCAGGCAGTCCCATGACGACTCTGATGCGACCCCGAAGGGGATCGTTTTCTTCTTCCTTGTTCTGCCGATCGGCGCGGGCCTTCGCACCCCCCCATGGAGTAGATCTTGGCTGCTTTGGGCGCCTGTTTCGAGCAGGCGGAGTCCCTCCCCCGTAGGACGCATTGCTGCAATCAGTCGCGCTACGCAGAGGTCCCGAGCCCCCAGACCCACCCCCCCTCCCCCCTTCCGCCCGATGTCGAAACGCCGAATAAAAAACGCTTACAAGCGCCCCCTGAAATCCATGACCACTTTCGTCAAGTGTTTCTTCAGCGCTCTGCTGCATAAGCCAAGGTGTCGCGGGCGGGCTCGCCTTGTGCAGGCTGGTCTTCGCGTGGCTCTGGGTTGGCTTGGCGCCATCCGAGCGATGGCACAGTCCTTCCAAGCGTGCGCGGCTTTGGGTTGAACAGCAAAAACGGTCGTCAAGTTGTTCTTCAGGAGTGCGGTACGGTCAACCCGCACAGTAAGGACGGGCAACCTTCCCAAGGGTACCCTTGCATCCTTGCCCCGTCGGCCCATCTTTAGCGACTCTCGCTGGCCAACCTCGTTCGGAAAACGCTGAGTGGCCCTCCCAGGCCCTTTGTACCCCTACCGCGTACCCTTGTGCTACGGGTTGACCGTGCCCTCCCGGGTCTCCCAGGTCCACAGCGTGGCACGGACGGGCAGGGTTGGGGCCCTCCCAGGCCCAAGGGAGGCGCGGCAGCGTCCCGGGTACCTGGAAGCGTGACAGGGGCATCGGGCGCTCTCGCCCTTCCGGACTAGGTCGGAAAAGCGCAGCAGGGGAACCAGAAGCTCACCATCGCAGGCCTCCGAGGTCCAGAAAGTGCGGCCAGGGCATCGGGTTCTTACCATCTGAGGTGTCCTCGGTGCAGGAAAGATGGCATGGGCACGCTCCTCTCACTATGCCAGGTTGGCAGGAGCATGGGACCCACACCATGTCAGGTCTCCCTCCCCTCCTCCCTCGTTCCTTTTCCTCTTTCTCTTACTCCTCCTCCTCCTCCTCCTCCTCCTCCTTCTCCTCCTCCTCCTCCTCCTCCTCCTCCTCCTCCTCCTCCTCCTCCTCCTCCTGCCTCCTGCCTCCTGCCTCCTCCTCGTCCTACCCAGCTCAAGAAATAGTTGCAGGGGCCTTGGGTTTTGACCATCCCAGGCCTTCCAGGTCTAGACGTTGACAGGGCCTTCCTGGTGGCAGGGACACACGGCTCTTACGTATCATCCCTCAGTCTGAGACCCAGGATCACCCTGGAACGCTTTGGAACGGCCGCGGCGCCCAATACGTCCTTCAGAACCGCCCGATCTCAGAGATCCCCGATCCATCGCGATGCGATTTTGTCACGTTGCTGGCTTCGGCTTCATCCCAGGTCTTCCGACGTCCTGAGTGTTCAGTAGGGGCATCGTCTTCTCACCATTTCGGGCCTCCCTGGTCAAGAAGCCAGTGGGAGCGGCATCCGATGTTCTCACCGTCCGTGGCCTCCCTTGGCCAGACAAGTGGCAGGAGCTTCTGCGGAGCATCACAGCCTGAGGCCTTCCAGGCACAGAAGGCGTGGCCGCGGCGGCACGACGTGCTCGCCGTGGCAGCCTGGGCCCAGAACGTCCAGCACGGGCGCGCGGTTCAGACCATGTCCAGGTCCTCGTGGGTCCAGAGCGCGGGGCAGGGCCCCACCACCCAGGCTCCGAGGAGCTGAACAGATCCGCGGCGCCTGTGGATCAAGATCCCCCCTGCCACATCTTCGTGCCACTACTCCTCTCGGCCTGTCTCGGCGGGCAGGGGGGGTGACCCCAAGCAGCACGAGACAGAGACCCGCTGGACCTGCGAGGACCAGGGCCGAAGCTGAGGGCGAAGCTCCGCGGAGTCGAGGTGACCCGGGCCCCGCGCGACGGCCATGGTGTCCGCCGCACGAGGCTGTGAGGGTCTCCCAGAGTCCAGGGCGTGCGGGAGAGGAGCGCGCACGCGGCACCCTCCGTCGGCAGCGCGCGTGGTTCCCCCCATGGGCAGCCCCTGGGAAGGAGGAGGAGGAGGAGGAGGAGGTGGAGGAGGAGGAGGAGGAGGAGGAGGAGGAGGAGGAGGAGGAGGAAGGGGGAGGAGGGAGGAGGAGGAGGAGGTTAGGGAGGAGGAGGTAGAAGGGGAGGAGCGGGGGGGGGGGAGGAGGGGGAGGAGGGAGGAGCTTTTAGGCGAAGCGAGGAAAGAGGGGAGGAGAGGGAGGGAGAGGAGAAAAGAAAGGGGAGTGAGAGAAGAGAAAAGAAAGGAAAAGGAGGAAAAAGGAAACAGGGAAAGAAAAGAGGAGGGGGGAAAAAACGGATCATGGAGATTGTGGCGAGGTGTTTGGGGGGGATTGGGCGAGACCGAGAGAGAACAGGGCGCTCTGCCTCCGATTCCGCGACCCGAGCAAAGGTTAGCCGTGGGGGACCATCTCGCGAAGCAGAGGGGCGTGGCGGCACGAGAGCACGCCGAGCCGTGGAAGGCCCCCACAGCGCGTTAAAGGGGGGGCGCTGGTGGCGGTGCGATATAAATTGGGTGGGCAGCGGGGGCTGCCGAGGGGCCCTTTACTAGGGCCCCCATACAGGGACTTTTCCTTGCCCAGAAGCGGGGTTCTAGGACCCGGAAACGGCATCTTTCTTCACCCCCCATTTATCGCTCCCTGTTAATTCGCGCCCAACTTGGGGGTTTCATGATTTGCCCATGTCGTCTCCCTGCTTCGATTTTTCACCGCCGCTGGGATCCCCCCGCGTATCGGACGGGAGTGTTACCGCTATAGGGCTGCACAGCCCGCGGGCCCAAGAGGGCACATGTCCTGGGGCACCACGAGCCACGGGTCGGGCGGCACAAATCCTCCATAAGGGGTCCCACTGAGGGATCCCCAGTAAGGAATTCTCATTGGAACTCCAAATGAAGAAATCCTGAGTACGGGGTCCTTAGTCAAGAAACCTTTAGGTCTCCCTTTCCCTTCGGCCTCGGGCGGAGCAGCTCCCCCACGCAGCATTGCGCCCGCCCGCCCGCTGCCTCTTGCTCGTCCCGCTTCACTTCGGCCCCTCCTCCTCCTCCTCCTCCTCCTCTCCTCCTCCTCCTCCTCCTCCTCCTCCTCCTCCTCCTCCTCCTCCTCCTCCTCCTCCTCCTCCTCCTCCCCCCCACTCCTACCCCCCTCCTCCGCTCTCTCCTTGGCCGCCCTGCGTGGAGCGCCAGCAGGCGCGCGCTCCGCTCGCGGGCTCGTGTGCCCGCCCGCCCGCCCTCCCTCCCTCCCCCGCCCCTCGCCAGCCTTCCCCGCCGCCGCCCCTCGATCTCCCCCCCCCCCCCCCGCCTCCCCCCTCGCCTGGCGCAGGACCGAGGAGGTCCTAGTAGATAGAGTAGGTCCGCACGGGCGCGCGGGACACAGAGGAATGTTTCTGCGGGCACCTCTGTCTGCACGGCGTGCATCGCGAGTGGCTCCGAAACGGCGCCTTCCCCCCCACACCGGTGACGTTGGTCCCCAACACACCCCGGTGATGCGTTCGCCTGCTCGGCGGGGCCGCGGGGACGCCCTGGAGGAGCGTTCCAGAACTCGGGTGGCCTCGATGCCTCGGTGGTGTTCGGCTTGGAGGCTCTCTGTGATCGAGTGTCGGGGAGGAGCTTGGGGCAGCGAGGGCCTTGTGCCGTGAGGCCCTACAGAACACCCCGAGAGTCCACAGTTCCTGTGCAGCTCAGCCTACTAGTTTCAATCATCCTCAGGACGTGTATTGGCCCAATGTGTGTCTGTCTGTCTGTCTGTCTGCCTGCCTGCCTGCCTGCCTGCCTGCCTGCCTGCCTGCCTGCCTGCCTGCCTGCCTGCCTGCCTGCCTGCCTGCCTGCCTGCCTGCCTGCCTGTCTGTCTGTCTGTCTGTCTGTCTGTCTGTCTGTCTGTCTGTCTGTCTGTCTGTCTGTCTGTCTGTCTGTCTGTCTGTCTGTCTGTCTGTCTGTCTGTATTTTACCCTGGTCAGCTCCACCGACAGCATGGAGCCAGTGTCGGCCCTCATGTCGGTGGACAAGCATATGTGTTCGCGAACACAGGTTCTGCGGATCATCGATCGTTTCTGGTGGTTTTCGGCCCGTCCCGTCACTGTGACTGGATCGTGGACCAGAGACCTTTTGGATGTCTCCTGGAAGGCCTCTTGCAGGCCTGTTGGGGGCTCTTTTAGTGGCCTTTTGAAGGCTCCTGGGTGCTTCTTGGGAGCTTTTGGGAGGTTACTGGGGTGATCTCTTACAGGCATGCTGGCATTGTGGGTGTCGTCTTGGGAGAGAGGGCTCCTGGTGTCCGTTTGAATCCCACCCCCGTTGGGTCCTCTCTGGGGGACTGCCGGGCCACTTGTAGGGGCTCGGTAACTGCATGGGGGTGATATCAGGAGCAAATATGGACCGCCTTGGACGCTCGGAA